CATAGGAGCAGAAAGGCTTTCTGCTCCTATGATGCTGCTTGGCCTGCTGTGTTCATCCAGCTCTGCTCCTTACTCATTGCTTATTCATTCTCTTGCTCTTGAGATAATAGAACAAAACTGTTGGGTTTTGTTCCAACCACCAATGTTTTCTCATGTACTTTTTTTTTTAAAGCTTTCCTAATTTCAAGTCTCTCCTGCACTTGTTATACTCCTGTATGGAATTTTTTTTTTTTTCAGTACTGCCAAAAGCTTCTCTTAATTCTAATCTCCAAACTCCTCGACAGCCATAGTTCTCCAGTCTTGGCCCCACCTTTTGTCTGAACAGAAGCATATTTGGCTGTACTCTCACCATATCCTCTTTAATGGCTCCCACTGCTCTGACATAGCTTTATCTGCACGTTGCTGCGCCCATTCCACTTGGGCAAGTCACATCATAGTAAAATTAGCCTCTCAAGTTTAGAACTTTAATTCCCAGCCTATTCTTATCCTTTTCCAGAATTTTGAGTTGTGGTCATGATCTCCAAAATGCTTCCCCAATGACACACCTTCCACCTTCCCAGGGTCATTTCCAAATATTGGGTCCTGAACTGCTCCCTTCCATGTTGGGCTTTTAACACACTGGTTAAAAATATAGTTCCCTTGGATACAGTTTGGAAGTTTTGTTCCTTCCCTATTTTGTACACTTAATATTCAAATAGTTCGAATCCACTACTATTGCTTCCTTATTATTCTTACACTTCATGAAATTTGATCCTCTATCACTCTCACTGTTTTGGCATCTCTAGTTCACACAACAGCAAGTTCTTTTACTTCCACCCACATGGCCTCATTTGATAATCCTTCCAAGATATCAGCCCTTCTCATTACTTTAATCAATTCTCCAACAAATATTGCAATACCCTACTCTCTCTCAGCTGAATAGTCAATAACCAGGAATGTTGAGCTGTCAATCCTGCTAATCTTTCAGCAAAGTCTCAGCTGATATCATACTCCTGTGTGCCTGTGACATCAACTTGTCTCTATTTCCTCAGGCTTCTTGCATTAAGCATATTCCAACAATCTTACTAAATTCACCTTGTCTAGCCCATTTCCTCAGCTTTCCAGACTGACTCTCATTTTACCTTACAATATCCTGTCAGTTCCTCTCCTCTCTATTTGTAAAGATCTCACTGCCCTCTAATACAGTTGACATGCATAATAGCATTAGCAAATCTCACTGCCCCCAGAAAAGCTCCGAATGCCTCAGGAGTCTAAAACCCTTTTCCACCTCACAATCACTCCAGCCACACATTTATCTGCTCCAACATTCTATTCCAAGACTCAATACTGTGGGTATAAAGGAGTAATCTTGTGATTATTACCTTTAAGTTCTGCTTTTCAATTTCCTACCTAACTGCCCGAGTCTGCTTGCAAGACCTCATTTCCTGTTATTGGTTCTAACATAGACCATGATCTCTGGTGTTCACCCCTTCCCCACTCAGAATGCCCTCGCTCACCCCTGTAGCTGTTCCGAGATATCTAGGACCCTAACACATGGGAGGCAACATGCTTTCCTGGAGTCACAGCTGACCACAACAGTGTCTTGTCTACTCCCCTCATTCACTCTTCATGACATCTTTTACATCCTATCTAATGAATGCATTCCGACATAACCATGCCATGATCTTGCAGTATTGCAATCGCAGCTCTTGACATACCAGTAATTCTTACCAAAAGCTCAAACAAACAGTCATACAGTTTCTAAAACCCATATCTTATTGTTTTTATTAATCAAATCACAAAATTAGCCCCAAAAAATGTTCCACTTCCAAGTTCCTATTAAATTCTCTTTTGAAAAAGGGAGTGAATCCACTTCTACAATGCTTTCCAAATCAAAGCACAGCAGATCTTCTCCCTTCATTTGCTGGTTCTTCAGCCAACTGCCTTAAGTCTGTGCCTTCTAATTATTGAACCTTTAGCCATTGGGACTTTTTTAAGTAAAGTTTACTGGAAAGTAAAAATAACTAATTTGTAAGAACGCCTTTAGAAAAAATTGTTAGGCTAGAAGACATTAAGTTGAAGTTCAATAAATTTTTTTTCGAAGACTTTTAGCCCTGACTTTTCATTCATTAAAATTGCACTTGAATGTTTTTAACCAGGTATTACCAAATGATTGGAACAGTTATGGGTTTAATACTTTAGCACAAAAGGGTTTGCTGGATTTGTTTGGGGAGAAGGCTCAAGGGTGGACAGTTTGAAAAGCAGTGATAGCAATTTCAATCCTATTCATTCCAGTCTTGCTACTTCACGAGGCAGAAGCCAGACTCTAGTTTTCTCCTCCACGATGGAAGATCCCAGCAACTGCCATTACTTCCAGATTGCGGTTCTAAATTCCTCACCCTCGCCCACATTATTGCTGGAGTCCAGAAGGCTCTTCTTCATGCACTTCCTGGTTCTCCTTTGTTCTCAAGCCGCAAAATAGCATTCCCACTGTTTCAAATTACCAGAATCTCTCAAATGTTTTCAAATTCCAAGGTTGCTGTCCATTCCCAGATTCCCATCCCACTGGTCATCATTACTTCATACAATGCAGGTGTTGTTGGCAAGACCAGTCTTATGAAACTGAATGGCTTGTCATATCATTTCTCATGGCAGTCAAGAGTCAACCATATTGCTGCTGGAAAGCTAAAATAATTACTTGGGGAAATCAGTGAACTTGATTTGCTTTTATATGCAGGGGAAATAGTCAGCTTCATATTCATCATGGCTGATAATCGAGGGGAAAAAAAAAAAAACTGAATTTAGGTTCCCCTGCTGCCGTGGTGGGATTTGAATTATAATTCATTAGCCTAAATTACCAAATTGTCATAGCAAGCATGTTCCAAGAACCTCCTGCTGCTCTAATTTGAGCTCCAATTCACAATATTGTTGGCTCTCATTCCCTGATCTACATTTTCCCCTTTCACTGCCAAGTGAAGATAAGTCAGTGACTGGCATAAAGTCACTCTGAAATTTGACCACCCTGAGCAACACAAAAGAATTACAGCCAGTTAAGTTTGTCTGAACACAAGAGGTTCTCTAACAAATGCATGCAAATTTAGAGAAAGTCACAATTCTCAGGACAATTTATTTATTTCTATTTCCAGATACAAAAATGTAATACACTTCAACAGGTCTGAGAGGAATCTGATATTAGAACAAAAGAATACAACACCGTTATGCAGGAAAATAAATGCAGGTTACTAGATTTAGTATCTACTCTAAGATGTGTACTCTTTTAAAAAAAAAAATCAGGCCTACCCGCGCCAAATGTTTTCCACAAAGGGGGAAAAGCAAGCATGAAAAATTAATTTAGAAACAAGCCCTTACATTTAAAATCAAATCAAAATCCCACAAAGAATCAAGATTCCCATACAACTTCAAAGAATGTAAACAAAAAACATTCGTTCTAAAGTTCTGCTTTGCAACTTAGTCATTTCGGTCAGGACTTGCACTTCTACGAGAGTTTTCAGATGGTGTACGACTGCAAGAGAAAAATAAAATTAATCAGATTAGAATTAAAAGTTAGAAAAATTAATGTATTTTACATTCATCTTTATTTCGTGTGACTCAATTTCCTTCACCTTATTGTCAAAGTAAAATTCTCACAGGCTTATTGACCAACAAAACAGTTAAGGATCTTGTCTCAAGGTTTCTGCTAAACTAATTTATTAGGTGATAATATTTTACAAATGAAGTTGGAATTTAACCAGTTGATTATTTTTAGGTTGCACTGAAGGCCACATTGCACAAATGACTAGGAGCTATAAGACATGTTTCCATAGATAGAACACAAGAAATAATAGAAGGCCATTAAATAAAATTATGACAGATCTGATAGAGGTCTCAACTCCACTTTCCTGCCTCGACAATAACTCAACATTCATAATCCTCGATTCCCCTGTCAATCAAAAATCTAACTCCGTCTCGAATATATTTAAAAGACAGCTTTCACTGCTCATCTGCAAAGAGAATTCCAAAGATTAACAATCCTTAAGAAATTCCTCATCTCCATCTTAAACGAGAGACTCCTTATTTTGAAACTATGACCCCTAGTTCTAGATTATCCCAGACAGCATCTTAAAATCTCCACCCATCAACGCACAAAGCAGTAAATAGCTCTCATTCTCCTGAAAACATCCTTGTTCAGCAACCCCTTTATCTCAGGAATGAATCGAGTGAACTTTCTCTGAATGGCCTCAAATCCTAGTATATCTATCCTTAAGACAACTAAAACACTACCACAGTTGTGGTTTAATTAATATCCTGCACAGTTGTAACAAGACTTCCTAATTTTACATTCTAATCCCTCTGCTTTTAAAGGCTAACATACCCTTTGCCTTCCTAATTACTTGCTATATATCTGTACACTGATATTTTTGTGGGCTTCTAGATTCCTCTGTACTGAAACATTATTCCTTCTATAACATTCAGCCCACTGAGTCTGCTCTGTTGCTCAATGAGATCATGGCTGACTGGATGATCCTTAATTCTACTTTCCTGCTTTTCTACATAACCCTCTATTCCTTTTATGATTAAAAGACTCCTTATCTTAGCCTTGAATATACTGAATAACCCAGCTTGTACAGCTCTCTGCAGTAAAGAATTTCACAGATTTACTACCCTCAGAAGAAATTCCTCCTCATCTGTCTTAAATATGCACCCCTTTATTCTGAAACTATGTCCTCTGGTCCTAGAATCTCTCACAAGGGGAAGCAACCTCTCAGCATCCACCTCAAGTCCCTAAGAATCCTGTATGTTTCAACAAGATTGCCTCTCATTCTTCTAAACTCCAACGTGCACAGACCCAAACTACTCATTCTCATAAGACAATCCCTCCATACCTGGGATTAAAATAGTGTGCCTTCTCTGGACTGCCTCCAATGACAATACATCTTTCATTAGACGATGGGGCCAAAACTATTTACACTATTCCAGCTGTAGTCTAACCAAAGCTTTGCACAGTTTTGGCAAGACTTCCTTATTTTGTACTCCATTCTATATGGAATAGATTTTAAATAAAGATTCTGTCTGCCTTCCCAATTACTTGAACTTGTATACTTTTTTTTGTGATTTATACAACATCTCCCAAATCCCTCTGTAGCTGTCTTGTAGCTTTCCACAGTTTCTCCATTTAAATAACTGTCTACTTTTCCATCCTTCCTACCAAAGTGGACAAACTCTTATTTTTTTCCATACTATAACTCCATCTCAAATAGTGAGTTAAGAGTACAGAATTTGTATGCTGTGTCTCCTTCATTTGAATCCTGGTTTTTGACAAAATATGACATTTAATATTACATTATATGCCATCTGGGAATTTGACAATGCCATGTGTTTGAAAACTCCCATCCAAAATATTTGTTAGTCAGTCATTGAGAAAAAAATAAATTTGAAGCCATATTTTTCAAGTAAAATATCTTTCATTCACATAAGCATTAGTTGGCAATGAAACAAAGCTATTATTTCATTCATTTTAATAAATTACTTTGATCAAAATATCTAACAAGTAGGGCAGGTGAATCTACTGCACACAAAATTTCAATTGTTAACTGTAGATATCTCCAAGTAACACATATCCTTTAAAATAATCTATCCCAATTAATGTAGCATACACACCTTCAACAGTTATCTAAATATCATGAATTCAGACTGTGCCTGATTTGACAGATTTTAGATACAGGGTGCCCTCACAAATTCAGGGTTACATTACTGAAAATTGCAACTTTAGTGAAGCAATGGTAAAACTGAACTTTGGTTCTTATAGGGGCTGAATATTATAGCTGTACCATCTAATTTGAAATATAATACCATCTGTATTGTAAATTCCTAATTCACACATTTTTAATTTGTTTTAAGTTTTTGTTTGTTTTACAATGGAAAATGCAATATCCCCCAGTACTGTTAACTTAACCAAGCTCCATCTAGTGGCAGATTCTGGTCAGCGTAGATTACTATAATCAATACAAAATTACAGAAAATGGCAAAACTGAAACCTATTCAATCTGCTTAAATTATGTTGGCAATCCACCTGCCTCAGTCAGTATTTCCTCCTTAGATCTTAAAATTGTCGCTTAACCATGTTTTTTGATTTACCTAATTTTGTTGTGCTGCACACAATAGACAGAATGTATAGTTATGGGGCATAAAGTGTTACTTTAAAAAAAAACTTACCTTCGCTTTGGTGAAAGTGATCTAGACTTCGAGCGACTGTTTTAAGAAATGAAGGTACAAAGGTTAGCAAAGTATCCAGATCAATCATGTACTGGACAATTCAGGGTATACAAATAGTTACACTATATTAATTTAAGATAATGAGTTGATCTTATAACCTACTTCATTCACACTTACTGGGAAACAACACACTGCACATTTTTACGCAGGAATCCGTTCTCTGCAAACACAATACTATTCAAGTCTTGCACGCTTTATGAATTACCTGGAAGCGTGGGCAACCTAGTTCCCTATTGCTTTCTCCATAATAACATCAGTCAACCTTTTTCTCCTGAATTATAAATTGTTGAGATTGTTTAAAATTTGGCATTCTGGCATTTACTGGCATGAATGCAATATGAAAAAGGTTCAAGAACATTTCTCTTTTCACCAATATTCAAGCATACTATTTGATAGGAACTGGGTAGCATCATACCATAGGTCAGGTACCACAAAAACTGCAGAGTAAAGTTCCTTCTAATCTACCTGAACAACAGGACAATCTCAGAAAAATATTCTCCCTTCTTCAAATTTTCTGTATTAGCCAACTTTACTTGTTGGTGGGCAATTGCATGTTGTAGTCCAATAGTGCAGGTGTTCTCACTGACCAAGCTTACGAAATCAAAAACTCAGAAGATCACTTTGGGCTTAATTCAAATTAAAGCATCACAGATAAAAATACCCATTTGGAACCTGGTCCCCATAACATGGGAAGCATTCAAGTTGTGCAATAGAATTTAACATGCAATGACTGGAATGCATGACATCTATCACAGCTATGTTAACAGTACTGTAATTGTAGACACCCTGAAATGGCAAATAAACAATCAGCTATGCAAAAGTAGTATGGATAACTATCACCAACTGACTCAAGAATAGTTTTAGACAGTTGGAAGCAAGTCAACTACCTTGTATGTGCTTATGGAAAACCATGCACCACCAGAAATCCCATTTATAAACTGATATTGAGGGCTAACGCATTAGGAAAATATAAATGTTTTTGAAGTTATTTTTGTTTCCTCACCTTCGAACCAATGATCCAGACTTGGATCTTCTTAACGGAGATAGAGACCTATTAAAACAAAATAAAGGTGCTAGCTGCCAGCAATAAAATGTATTAGCTTCAGATTAAATATATTCCCCACATGTGAATCAATTATTTCACACCTATGCAAGTCTCTCAATTCCCATTTTCAACACTATGACAAGCCAGAGTTACCGCGCTGTAATGTTCTATGTACCCTCTTTGTGCTTTTAATGTAATTACTTATTGCAGAATACTCCGCACCAACCCATGTACAGTCTTTGTCTCTACATTTTTTGGACAAGATGCTTTACACAGTGGAGCTTGCTAAATCTCCTTCATATACTCTCATTCATCAGCTTTGCCTTGATTCTAGAAGACATCTACTCAGAGCCAAGAGTCTGTGCCACAGGTCTTCATGCGACTAAAGAAGCCAATTCTTGACCCAGAGATCTTTAGACACACAGAACACTGTATCCCATAAGGAACCGAGATCCCAAGAGTAGGAGTGATTTCCTTTCCTTTCCTGCCACTACTCTGCCTCAACATGAAGGTTTGTGATCCAAAATGTGTGCAGCTTGATGGACAAGTTGTTACCATTTTGAAAGACTGGTAGAAAGTTCCTCCCAATAACTAATGTCATTGCTGCCTGCTTTAAGAATAATGCAAAGGTTATAGAAAAGGAGGAACTTAGAGTGATCACTAGGGAAAACATACTAAACAAACTATTGGGATTAAAGGCAGACAAATCCCCAGGGCCTATGACCTACACCTCAGGTCTTAAAAGGAAGTTGCAGAGATTGTGGATCCATATATTAATATGGTTATAATATTTCAAAACTCCCTGGATGCAGGAAAGGTTCCAGTGGATTGGGAAATTGCTATTATAAAGACACTTATTCAAAAAGGGAAGGAGGCAGAAAGTAGGAAGTGACAGACCAGTTAGTTTAACATTTCTCATTGGCAAATTGTTAGAATCTGTTAAGAAACCAATAATAGGTCATTTGGCAAGTCAAAACACAATCCAACAGAGCCAGCATGATTTCATGGATTTGAATAGTGTGCTAGAGTTCTTCAAGGATTTAACAACCAAAGTGTATCAGGCATGTTATATCTAGACTTCTAGAAGGTATCCGATCAGATGCCACACAAAATGTTATTAAACAAGATAAGGTCACATGGGGTTAGTGGGTAACTTGTTAGCTTGGACAGAAAATTGACTAATCAACAGAAAGCAATGTTAGGATAAATGGGAACAAAATAAAAAATGAAAGAACAGCGGATGTCCTTTAATCAGGAACCAAAACAGAAATTGCTGGCAAAGCTCAGCAGCATCTGTGAAGAAAAATTTAGAGTTAACATTTCAGGTCCAGAACTGAGGCATTCTGAGGAATAGTCATCGGACCCAAAATGTTAACACTGATTTTTTTTCTTCACAGATGCTGCCAGACCTGCTGAGCTTTTCCAGCAACTTTGTTTTTGTTAGGTAAATAGCCCATTTTCTGGTCAGCAGGATGCAACTAGTGGGACATCACAGGGTTTGGATCTCAAACCCAAAACTATTTCCAATCTATACTAATGACTTGGGTGCAGACATTGAAGGTACATCAACCAAATTTGCAGATGAGGCTAGAATAGGTTGGAAATTAAATTGCAATAAAGAAACAAGAAATTTACCAATGATTATGGACAGATTAAGTGAATGGGCCAAAATTTGGCATTTGCAGTATAACACAAGTGTGAAGTCAGCCTTTGTGGTCAGAGGAACTAAAAGGTAACCTATTGACTACATGGAGAGAAACTTCAGAATGCTTCAATGCAGAGGGATCTAGGTGTCCTTGTACATGAATCACAAAACTACAATGCAAGTTTGGCAGGTAATAAGAAAGGTAAGTGGAATTCTGGCATTAGTTTCTAAAGTAATAGAGTATGAAAATAGGGAAGTGTTGCTACAACTGTACAAGGCATTAGTGAGACCACACCTGGAATATGGTGCACAGTTTTCATCTTGAGGGAGGCATTGCAGACAATTCAGAGGAGACTCACTAGATTGATTCCAGACATCATGGGTTTGCCTTACGAAGAGAGATTGAGCAGTTTAGGCTGACGTTCTCTAGAATTTAGAAGAATGAGAGCCTTATTGAGGAATATTAGACAAAGGGGACTGACAGAGTGGATGTGGAGAGGATCTTTCCTCTTGTGGGGCAATCTACAACAAGAGGTCATAGTTTTAGGATACAGGATAGCAGATTTAAAATAGGTGATGAGAAACTACTTCTCTCAAAGGATCATGAATATCTGGAATTCACTACCCAGACTGTGGAGGAGGCCAGGAAAAAAAAAGTTTAAGTATAAGAAAAGAGGTTTTTAATTAGTAACAGTAGAAAGATTATGGGGAGTAGGCATTAAAGTAAAGTTGAAGCCAAGACAAGATCACCCATAATCATATGAATGGTGGAGCAGGTTTGAGGGGCTGAACTGCCCCTAGTTCTTATTTTAGGTATCTGCTGCCTTTGTCCTTCGAGATGCTAAAGGTCATGGATTAGACGGCACTGCTGAAACAGCTTTCTTCAAATAGGCTTCTGAATTTTACTTTAACTAGGCATAAATATTTGACTCAATTGTATCTGACACAGCCCCTATCTAATTGACAACTTATCAAATATGCAGCTGACAATTACTAGAACAGAGGGAGAAAAACTAAACCAACCTGCTTCTCTGCCTCGATAGAGACCTGGACCTGGACCGTGACCTCGATCTAGACCTGTGAAGAAAAACAAAATCATTGATCCTTTAGGTGATACAGGAAAAGTAAGCTATTAGGAAATATTATCAGGGCACTATGGAAAAAAAAACACTTCAAGAGCCTACATGTCACCCATAATGAAACTGAAGTCAACTCCGGCAAGGCAATGCCTATAAATAATTTTTACCAATAGTCAGCAAATTTTGTAATTTAGTAATTTAGTTTGTATTTTTGTTTTAAGAACTCAATCTTTCCCTGGAAAGAGCCTGGCTGAGAATATTCTTCAGAATAATCATATTGTTATCAGTTTGCAAGCATGTAGAAAAAAAGACAATTTTCAACAGTTTGAAGGTTGGTTGCAGGAGAATTCACTGACTCATTTCAACCAGGGACAGCCACCACCTTCTGGACTTTATGAAAACTGAATGACTAACCATTCTAAAATCTGCTGAAAACTAAAACCTAATAATATTATAGCTCCTAGTTTAAACCCTTTTCATGGAGTGTGGGTTTGCCAGCTAGGCCAGCATTTACTGCCTACCTCCAATTGCCCAGAGGGCAGTTAATGAGTCAACCACATTGTCTGACCTACTTGTGACTCCAGACCCACGGCAAGGTATAGATGGCACATTTGCTTTCCTAAAAAAAGGACAGTTGTGACCCAGATGGGTTTTAAATGAAAATCGACAGTTGTTACATGACTGCCATTAGATGAGCTTTTAGTCCCAGATTTCAACTGAAATTTCACCATCTGCTATCGTGGGATTTGAACCTCGTCCCCTGATTCTGAATTACTAGCCCAGTAACATTAACTCAATGCCAGTGCCTCCCTTTGTTTGCAAGGGTAATGCATCAATCCAAAGAAAACTAATATAATGGGATAATGTCTGCAGTCAGACAAGAATTCCAGTAAATACTAATTCTCTTGGCTACAAAGGGTGCTAACATTTAAAATTCTGTAAGCTAGCAATAAAGCAAGTTTAGTAGACAGACAATTTGTACACATCTAATCTCAATTTACAGAAGCTAATAAGGGGGCAAAATTGCGTTTACATGCTGTAGTTATATCAACTTTATATTACAAGAAAATAGCAAGGGATTTGTAGAAAAGAGCACCTATATAATCAAGTGCATTAGGTTACAATCAGATTCATATCAGTCTACAAACACCAATTCTGCTCGAGGCAGGGTGGGATAAGCAGCTTCAGATTTTGGGCTGATCAGCAGATAATATATGCAAATTACCTTATCATCACTAACATACAAGTAAGGCTCCATACAGACATGCCTCCAAGAATATTAAAAGTCAGCACTGCTCAATTAGGATGGCAATGTCAACTGCATTTTCATACAAACTCATTAGCAAAGTGGCAGCATTAGCCCCATTTTGCTTTTGTTTCCCCCAGAAATAGCACTTGCACAACGTTCAATGTTCTGGGTAAATTGTGTTGCTTCATTGCAGTATCCAGAGTAACTGGGAAAGATTCACATCAGAAGTCACAAGTCAACAAAACCATAATCAAGCCAGAATACTTAAGATAAATTTTCAGGAATGATGCATCGGAGAAAGACAGAATGAAGTCTGCAGCTACGATTACCAACTACTATCACTCAACTTCAAGCATTGCATGGAGTTATTGTGAAATGAAAACCAAGGTTCTCGAGTAGATTTGTAGCTCGGGTTGTGAATGCTGTGGTGAACACCAACTAGCAACAAAACGACACGACCAATACTCAATCATCAATACTCACATGGATAAGGAGAATCACCAGCTCGATTGGGACGATCCTAGGACAGGCCAACAGAAACAAGCACAGGAATTCCTAGAGGCCTGGTTCTCCACCAAGAAGGCCATCAACAAATACACAGAACTAGACCCTATACATACACCGTTGCGAAGGAAAACCGGAAGCGAGGTAATCAAATCCAATGGACCCCAGAGTTTGAACACCAGGTGGGAAAACACAACAGCGCTTCATCAGAGGCTGCACTGATGACGTTACCCAGCAGGGTATTGAAACTTCTGCGAACTAACAAATCAGCTTGGCGAGCGAACCAACCAAAATGAAAACCAAGAACTTCTCAGATTCATTAATGTCCTTTAAGAAGGAATTCTGCTGTCCTTACCACATGTCTCCAGATCTATAGCAATGTGACTGACACTTAACTGCACTCTGGGCAATTAGGGGTGGTTAAAAAATTGCTGGCCCAGCCAATGACACCCACATCCCCGTAGATCAATAAGAAAAAAAATACTAATATTGTATTAAATAGTTCTATTTCAACAGGATCTTTTCATTTGGCACATGGAAACTATAACATCCAAACAGCATTTCCATGCTCCCTTTTGAAGAAAACCCAAGCAGTCAATAGCCCACAGTAAAGTAGGTCATAAACTGAAGCTTAGACACGAAGAAAGGAATTAGTCTGGCAACAGCCAAAAGATTAAATAAAAATAGGTCACAAATTTGCCCAAATGTAAAAGTGGATTAATATTAAATGACTATATTAACCAAACTGCTGTCATCTACATGCATGCAAACTAAGAGGAAGGTTATTTGTAAAAAATTGCAGCACCAATTTTACGTAATATATTTCTCATGACAGCAACTTCTCAGTGTCACACTAACAAATAGGTTCTTTGCAAATCAAGTTGGACAACAATTATCAGGCAGTAAAATACATGTGCAACCACTGGGATTTAAGCATCTGAGGGAAATAAAAAGCACAATTTGCAGTACCGTGAATTTCAAAAATGGACTTCAACTGGAAAAAGAACAGGGGAGAAAAGGAGAAAGTCTTCATTCACCTGGACCTTTTAGGAGAGAATGACCGAGACCTTCTTGGAGAGAAAGACCTGGACCTCCGAGGAGAAAAAGACCTGGACCTAGACAAAAATTGGACATTTTTAAATTGTACAGGATATTTAGAAACTGAAGGCTTCATTTCTCAAATCCAAACCGGATAAAACGATGTACCTTCTGCCACGGCTACGGCTGTGTGAACGGGTATACCTTCTTCCCCGTGAGCGTGAACGTGATCTAGTCCTAGACCTGGTTTAACAAGAGAATGCAGTATTAAATTTAACAATTCAGTTTTAAAATATTGGAATACCTCTGCTGGAGTCAAAACAAGATTGCTACAATATAGTATGCATTTGTCAGTTTGAAGACAACTTGGGACCCTATGTTCTTTAGATTAAATCTACATAATGTAGATTCAGTTAAAAATTTTACATAGTTTTTAGTATTCTGTGCATTGTAAAAACACTTTGTAAGTGGTACATAAAGTAAACCTTGCAAGTTTGCAGGTCAGTCGACCCTCTCTTTGGACCAAGGTCTAGCAGATCTAGGCGATCTAGAAGTATCTATCAGACCATCGCAGCATCTAGATGTTCTTCAATCTAACGACGATCAAACTGACAGCCAAATGAGCCAAAGTGAGGCTTGATTGACGCAGGATGGTTTGTCTACGAGGGAATGCGGTCAATCTGGCGTTCCTCTAGAAAGGGGCCCAATTGAAAGCCAATTTACAGCATAACGGCGATCACCTTGTCTCATTCTCAAACATTTTCTGCCCTCAAAAGAATCTTAAGGTGAAGCTAGTTGTAGCAGGTTCTCGAGGGGATCTGGCCTCATGCCAATCACCGTATGCTCTAGGCGCATCAAAACTGTTGGATTTGCTAGATGCCTTAGCCTGATATCATGAGGCTCACGACATTCTGAATCGCGGTGACTGACTCAAACGAAGAAACCTGAAAGGTTTGGACCAGGTGGATCATTAATATTCAAAACATTCACAGTGAAACTCAAAAAGTCAAGCAAAAATTGCCACAAGGCCTGATTATCACTTAATTATAAAGCAAAAATGATAAATATTGCATTTCTTTATTCAGTTTAAACAAAGTTGCTTAGTTATACTTAAATTTAAATTTTTTTAAGCAATATTAGAAGTCACAGAGATTGGCAACTCATACCTGCTCCTCCTGCGTCGGCTATAGCGATGACAATCGTAAGCATAATGACCCTTTTCTCCACATTCATAGCACCGATCATTTGGGTCAAAAGGTCGGCGTGCTGGTGGCCGCTCAAAGCGTGAGCGGCGTGGCATTCCTGTTGATAATTCCACTCGAACACGTGAGCCGCAAATTACCCTTAAGTTAAAGAAATCAGTGTTTACACAAAGCCAAAGACAACCCACCATAAAGCATCAGTTAAAAGGTGTAACTAGAACAATACTATCATCTATATGAAATGGCTGGCACTTGAAAGCTTCAACAGCATAACCTGTCCCTCACCTTATGATGCATACAATTAAATGCAAATTGGTTGGGCTTCTGCCATTTCTATTGTTTCAATGCCTATTATAACATATCGATAAATCAGGTTATTCAGATTCCTTTTTACCCCGTACGAGTTTTCTCCTACAACAGGGAGGTGAACGCTAGATCACCAATGCATTAAAGGCCAAATACGGAAATATAAACTTACGATGAAGCTCGTCACATTAAAAGTCGCTTGGCAATATTTGCATAAGCAAACCTGTCTGATATGGGAAGAATAGCAGGAAAGGCAGTTGAAGATCTGACCGAAATCTAAAAAAACGTCTCCCGACACCCTAAAGAATAAAATCCAAACCAATCAAAATCAAAAACAATTTGAATGGGGAGGGTGGGGAGGAAAAGTACTTGGCAGGGAAGAGGAGACGACAAACAGTACCTACCTTTCTTGAAACTAGAGTGGAAAAAAAGTATCACAGCTGAGACAGATCAAAAACACACAAAATTAAAACAAAACAGAAGCAAATCAACAGTATTTGTAAGGTTAAAGGCACTGCACCATTTAACCGAGCAGAGTCACACAATAACTCCATCCACTTGAATGAAAATTAAATCTTAACACTTTGAGCAGAGTTACTTTACAGCAAAAAAATGTCAAACTTCAGTTCACAAGTTAGCAAAACATGATGTCTAAAAGGGACTCTGTGCCTCTATGTTCTAAATAGAAGGTTCAATGTGGCAACGTATTATCCAGTAATTCAGCTGTCTGATTTAATTTGAAGTTTAGGGGTATGAAAGGAAAGCAAGATCATGAAAGTAGTCAGGTTAGACACCAATAAAGAGAAGACAGAAGAATTCATGTTGATGAAAGGAAATGAGATTACCATTGCAAAATATACCATATATGCTCGAGTAAAAGTCAATAAATTTCATGTAAAAGTTGCCCCCCGCCAAAAGAAATCTATAGTTTTCCATATATCTTGTGTAAAAGTCAACCCTAGTTCTTCATTGATAACAGATCAACATTTCTAAGTCAACGTATTATCCTGTACGTCAATGTTACGATGAGAAGATGATCAGCAAGACTGTATGAGAGTCAAATGTTTGATAAGCTTTTATTTTAATAAAATGATTTTAATAAAAGTTAAAATGTTAGTTTGGAAAACTAAAACAACAGTAAACAAAAGAAAACAAAGGGAAATAGAAGAATTTGGCACGGAAGTCTAAGACGCATCAGGTCACAGTCAAGCACTCGTGGAATACAGTCACATACCTAGTTGAGGTTTTGAAATTTTTTCATTTTGTGTAAAAATGTCCTCCAGAAAAAACAAAAAAAAAACAGCAGTGTTTAAACTGAAATTTACTGAAGTTGCAGGGAAGACAAATAACTGTGCAGCAGCAAGAAAATTGTGTTTCGGAGAAACGAGAGAGAGACTGGAGAAAAAGATAATCGAGCCAACTTTGGACAATGCCAAAATGAAAGTGTGCCAACAGGGTTGTTGAACAGTGTGATTTTACAGGGTTTTAATGAACTTTTGTATTTGACATGTTTAATTTAAGATGTGCCACGTAATTGTAATTTAAAGCCGTATTATATTTCTACTTCATTTTTTGTATGAATAAATAAAAGTTTACTAATTTATTTTTGTTTCTATGGTCTTTATCCGGTAATTACCGTAATTTTTTGTTTTTTTCTTTATTCGTTTAGATATCAATTGGGCTTCTGCTAATGATTCGGTATTTTGGACTGCAGTATCAAATTTCAGCCCTTCAAAAGTAGTATCCAAGTAACTATCGACCCCATAAATTTAACCTTAAAACTAGTCTAAAAAATTCGACTTTTACATAAGTATATATGGCAGTTTAACTGGGTCTGACGCCAACACCTATGCACTGGAGCAAATCCATAACTGTTTTTATGGCATTTACCACATATTAACAAAAATGCATTATCTTTACTTTCTCTGTAAAAAGGGAATAGGAAGGAGACAAAAAAGGCACACCATAGCCTGAACGCGCATTTCAAAGTTTTATTTTGAAACTTGAGTTCAAGACAGTTAGGCAATTATTTGTATCTCTGCTCCTGTGGGGTATCTGGAACCACAGATTAGAACTATGATCGAGAGAAGTTTTAAATAGCCTATTAATGACAGCTGACCAAAGATACAAGATAGAAAGAGCAGGAAATACAATTTGTCCACTGGCAGAGTTAACAATTCAAGAGCGACAAAGTCGCAGGAGAATTAATCTGTCCCAAAGTGCAAATCAAATACTGTATTTCACTTCCCTCCATAGCATATTCTATTTATTTATAACACTCATGTGGTCATTTTCTTCATAATACATTTAGGTGTAAATTAGAACTGAAATTACTGACAGCACTCTTACATACTTTAGTTGGTCATAAGGATCTCTTCTTGCAAGAAACAACTGGATGATACTTCAAATATAAAAATCAACCAAACTATAATGCAACATTAAACTTACAACAGCTTAGTCATAATTCGTACTTTTTCAGTGAGCAACAAAAGAAGTCCTCAACTACACTACAGAATCCATTAAAAATTGAAAAGGAAGGAACAATTGGAAAGTATGCCAAAGTGCCTCACTGAAGTCCAAGTTGTGTTCAAACTTCTAGTTCAAACATAGGTTCCAAATTTCAGTCATAAAGTAAAGGGACTGGGACAAGTGAAGTCCAAGCACTTTTCCAAAGGAAACAAAAATCCAAAGGAACTGTTTATGAAGTATCTCAAAAATATTCAGAGGGGAACGTTAACACAAGCATAGGAATAGATCCCTGCAATGAAACCGGCAAATGGAATCCAAGGTTCGTTCAGACGAACAAATGGGTAAAATAGATCTTCCAGTACAGGCAGCCTGAAATTAAAAAAGGATGACGGCCAAGCTATTTACAGCAGCAGTTCCCTGGGCTGGCAAAGATGCCAGGGGATGGAAGCAATGAGCACAGGCTGGCTGAAGGGTGGGGAACCGATACAAACTTGCAGACAGGAGGCACATCAAATAATTTGAATTACTTTAAATCTGCTCAATTTCTTAACAGTTTAAGTTGAAATTCAAAGAAAGAGCGTAAAACATGTAGCATGGCATAAGGCAATCACATCATAAGATGTCTGAATTCATGCTGATTTCTAGACACAAAAGTTGGACTAATTAAAGTTGATCACATACTACTGAAACAGCATACTGTGCTGGGATCAGTCTATTTAAAGCTGCCTTTGAGCCATATTCCTAATATTGTTTTCTGTTATTATGGACTGAGAAATATCAGTTAAAGATGTAATTCTGAAGTATTTTGCCTGGGAACAAAATCCATTCCCAAAAGGATTCTGTAATAAAGTTATCGAAAAGACAACCTGATCAACATATCAGTTATTTTGTTTCCAGAAAATTTTAAAGTCTTGCTTTTTGATTAAATGCTGGATCTCACTTCAAATCCAATGTCCCCTTAACTATTTATTATTTGCTTCTTTTATTTTAAAATATGTGTGAATTAAGATTTTTTTTCCCACTATTTATATAGCAGAACAGGTATAGAAATCTGAACGTACAGACTGATTTGTGGTTGAAACTCCAAAATTAAATGTCGATTTCCAAATTATGCCATAGCAATGAACTCATCCTAATTGAGATAAGGTGAATCACCAAGGGTTCTTTTATGTTGAATTTATTTAGTTGTATAATACAAGGTCAGTGCAATTTGTGTTGCTGTCTGAAACAATATTCCTTGTACTGAGAAAACAAAATCCTCTATGCAAAAATACAACGTTAGGGAAAGAATCTTTTGTCAATAACACTAAAAAGAGTCAATATCAAACACCCCAGTTGACATCGTGTTCTTATTTTCTTTTGTTAACTTCAATCAAAATCATTCACAATCAAAAGACCGTTGTGATTTGATGTTGCTGGTTTCATATTAAATTATCCTTCCACTGTTACTCAAGAGGCTGAGCCCAAACAAATTTCTGAAAGGGAAGGTATTGGCAAAAAAAAAATTCTGGGACCCTTTAAATCAACAACGCAGATTTATACTCTAGACTGACTATACTGGAGTTAGGTACTTCCTGCAAAATGGGAAGATTACAAAGCAGTATAGACAGATGTTTAGGAGCAAGTATCTCCATTCCTTCTCACCACTGAATGCTTGGTACACGAGGAGAAACTGGCAGAAAATAAGCTAAACAGTAAAATCAGCAAAACAAGGCTTTTAACTTGTTAGACTTTGGCTAACATAACACCTGAACAGTCATACATAGATTCAGTTACTGGACAGGCTCTCTGATGGGAAAATAGTACCGGTATGCTGGCGAATGACATGACAACTGTGGAAACAATTTGTCATTTCCACAGTTGTCAGACCACACGAGTGTTTCATACAGGTTTGGTTACAGTAATGGCAGCTGTCACAGGTTTTTTTTTATCCATACACTATTGTATTTATTAATAAATAAAAATAAATGTATGGATACCAAGCACACCAGTCTCACACGCATATATACAACAATTTTGTACATTTGTCACTCATTGACAACTGCCCATATTTAAAGGGGAGCTAAATCCAAATGGTAAAGTCAGTCCTTTCATTATTCATTCTCTTATTTGAAGTACAGCGAATGATCCTCAGGTGTTGATTTTTTCTGATCAGAGCACACAATGCCTACCAAGTTCCTAAATACTGAAAGTTCCTGCAGATTGACATTAACTTTATAGGAAAGGTTGCACTTGCAGTATTATTTCTATCGCTATATTTAAGGGAGCAAACCTGCCCTTTAGTACCTACACAACCAAACAAGTGTGCTCTGAGCAGATTTTTTAAAAAAACAGCTGAAAACATTCATATTTTGTAATTAGAATGATGAGCAAGTAATAATAAAAGCAGTGACTTTACCAACGGGGTATAGATCCCCTTTAAAGTTTACTTACTTGCCATCCAAACCACGAACAGCATCTTCAGCATCTCGAGGCTCCTCAAACTCCACAAAAGCAAAACCAGGGGGATTCCGTGCTATCCAGACTGTCCTCAGTGGTCCGTAGTAGCTGAATGCACGCTCTAGTTCCCCTTTACCGGCACCTGTTCCCAAGTTACCTACATAGACCTTGGTTTCTGTTGAGATGCACATCAGACATCATTAGTCTACAAAACAAAACACTAAATAAAAACTACTTTAAACATACAACACTTAACTATCTGTGATAACTATAGGACTGTGTGTTTTAGGTACATAAAACAAACCTTGCTGCACTGTTTCAATGTAATAAGAGAAATGGTGAAGGGAGAAAATCTCAGTGATAAAGCTGAATCTCTTATCTAAGAACAAAATGTTTAGCATGCAAAGACATCTGTTTAAAAAGGCAATAAAGGATTCTATTCCACAGTACTCTGACTTAACATTAAGTGAAAAATCTCATTATACAATTCTTAAAAAAAGGTTCTCCATTGATGAATGCAAAAGTGATTTGTTATGTAGGCAGGTGAAGAGCAACATCACGGCAAAATACCTATGTTCAAGATCAACAAATTTATGACAGTAGGGAAAACTGCTCGAGATGCAGGTACGAAGGAAATGTCTGGCAACAGATTCATTTGGAACCAGAACTCCACTAACACAGTAAAAGACCGTGACTGTTGAAAATCTTGAATAAAAGTAGAAAATGCAGGAAATACTCAAAATAAGGCTGTCTGTTCACAAAGAACCAGAATGATCAATCTGAAACACTAATTATTTCTCTTTTCACAAATGTAGCATTATCTTTCCAGTAGTCAGAATGCTGTTTTTATGCCACTGACTCAATGTTGCATAGAAAGGAAAAATACAGGATAACGAACTGACTGCAGGCTATAGTGGAATCAATGAGGATTGATTAGAAAGGGCTAGAAATTATTTTGATGAAGCGAAGTTGAAAAAATAGAAGCCAGTACAGATTTTAAGAAAGACAGGTATTTCTTTTGCTTGTAAATGCGAAGAGCTAATAATCCAGGTACAAGAGACTACAAGTGAACCAGAGGCACAGGGTTAGATAATTCAAACGTGAAGGAAAATAATTTAAAAAGCCTGAGTGACAACATAGGTTGTGAGTAACATCAGCAGGCCAGTGATAAATATGGCTGTGTGCTTTGCTAATAGAAATGATTCATGGGTTGCAACTTGTCTATGTTAATCATTTAACATGCTTTGATCAGAAAGTGTCAATACAACTAGGTTAGCAGCATTCACCTCAAAGTCTACTTCTGAATTTGAGTAAATGGTTATTTGGACATTTTGTTATATAGTGTTGAGGTTGGTTGGCTCGCCGAGCTGGTTTGTTGTTCCGCAGACGTTTCATTACAGTGCTTGGTAACATCCTCAGTGCAGCCTCTGATGAAGCGTCAGTGTGTTTTCCTGTCTGGTTTTTAAACTCTGGGGTCCGTTGCGATTGATCGCCTCACTTCCGGGTTTCCTTCGTAGTGGAATGTATACGGGGTCGAGTTCAATGTGTTTATTAATAGCATGCTTTGTGGAGTGCCATGCTTCCAGGAATTCTCGTGCTTGTCTCTGCCTAGCCTGTCCCAGGATCTTGGTGTTGTCCCAGTCGAAGTCATGGTTCTCCTTGTCCATGTGGATTGAGATGAGGGAGTATTGGTCGTGTCTTTTGTAGCCAGTTGGTGTTCACTCATCTCAATCCACATGGACAAAGAGAACCGCCACTTCGACTGGGACAACACCAAGATCCTGGGACAGGCTAGGCAGAGACAAGCACGAGAATTCCTGGAAGCATGGCACTCCACGAAGCATGCTATTAATAAACACATTGAACTCGACCCAGTATACATTCCACTACGGAGGAAACCCGGAAGTGAGGCGATCAATCGCAACGGACCCCAGAGTTTAAAAACCAGGCGGGAAAACACACTGACGCTTCATCAGAGGCTGCACTGAGGATGTTACCAAGCACAGTAACGAAACGTCTGCGGAACAACAAACCAGCTTGGCGAGCCAACCAACCTCAACACCCACAACCCGCGCTACAGATCTACTCCAAAACCTTAGATTTTGTTATAGTACTTAGGAAAATAAACTGGAAACGCCAATTAGGCATTGTATTAAACAAAACGCCTTTTCGGTAATTGGCAGCCTACGTACAATTAGGTACAAACTAACATGGTACAACTCAAGAACTAGTCTGATAAGTTATCAACATTCTTCTCAACCATTACTTAAAAGATTAAAATATACAGAAAGGGCTGCTCAGCTAATGCAAAGGGAACACTGGGCATTAAACCTGGAAGTTGTGAAGTAAGTGACTCTGGTGGACAATGTCTGTATTATAGGGACTTATTGAACTGCGAAGTTGTATGGTCATCAGCTTCTATAGCAAGGGAAAATACACAAATACATCGACATGTACATGAGTGTGAACAAAATATATCAAAAGGGCTGACTGAAATATGGCAAAAGTATTAATCAACCTAATCACGAGTACTAAATGAACTGATTACACACAATTAATGATAATTCAGTACTCAATCTATTCATTCACGAAATGAGTGTGTCATATTGCTTCAAAACGGTTATCTGAATTGTGATGAATTCAACTGAGAGAAACTTAAAGATGTGTTTATTGTTGTAAATACAAAACTAATACAACTGATTATTGCTGCAAAGCAACCATGTGCACAGGCTATAAGTCTACATACCGCTATTCTTAATAAATTGGCCCCAGAACAGACCTTAGACACATTTCTGTACTCAATTTATTTGCCTGCTTTGTAATTTCCTAATTTTTTTCTCTGCTCAGGATGTGTGCGAGAATGACAGCCTATATTAGCTAATTTAGAAGGATGGGGGCAGTCCTTAACACCTTTTCAGATAGATTATAGACCTATTAAGACAATGTTGTCAAACAAGGTCTTGTCCCTAATGTTACACAGAGTATTTTGCATGCCTGAATGAGCACAAGCACATCTTTTTGTCATGGCTGGTGGTGGTGTGGGGATGAACAGACAGGACACGACATGCATCATTTCAATATCTGGTTGCAGTCTCAGGATTACAAAGAGGATATCAAAAACTGGGGGGAACCAGAGCTAACAGCAATTTGGAAAGAGTAAACAGCTGACCTTGACATACATCAAAAAAGGTCTCAAAGGCCGCATTAAAGTCAAGTAACTTGACTCCAGTACACAACTTTAAAAGCAATAGACAAAATGATTTGGTAGAGTGGATTTAAAACAGGAGGTCGCACTTTCTTCATTCCGAGAGCCCTTCTTATGATATACAAATTCCTGCCACAAATACCTTTGCCAACATCAGCTTGTATACAACTCATTACATGTGGGATATTAAAAGCATATGAATCCTTTAAGACAGGTTATACATTGAAAATCAAAAGTACAAAATTCACAATGTGGAAGGAGAATAATTAAAGAAATCTGTCAATCTCATCTAATCATCACCACTTGATGTTCAATGGCATGACCACCACCAATAAATCCCCACTACCAACATAGTGGGGGTTACTGTTAACCAGAAATTGAACTGGACCAATCATATAAATACCGTGGATACAACAGATCAGAGACTGGGATTTCTACAGCAAGTAATTCACCACTGATTCAGTCCCAATGCCTGACCACCATTTACAAGGCATTAAAAAAAGTGTGATGGAATATTCTCCACTTGCCTTGATAAGTGGACCTCCAATAACATTCAGACAACACCAAACCGTACAAAGCAGCCTATTTGACAGGCAGCCACCTCACCACTCTTAATATTCATTGCTGCAGCATCAGCAGTTTAAACCATTTACTAACTACATTACAGTAACTCACCAAAGTTCCTCTGACAGCATCTTCCAAACTGACGACCCGTACCATTTAGCAGGACAAGGACAGCTGATGCACGGGAGGACTGCTGGCAATATCCTTTCCAAGTCACACAGCATCCTGACTTTGGAGGGGATATTATTGTTCCTTCACTGACACTGGACCAAATCCTTCAACTCTTTTCCTGGCAGCACTGTCGTTGTTACTTAACAACTTAAATTGCAGTAGTTCTAGGTGGCAGCTTGGCACAACCTTCCTAAAGAAAACTAACAATAGGCAATAAATGCTGTCTAGCCAAAGGCCTCATCCCAGGTATGAATATAAAACTTGTTAAACTATTGGACATCTCTTCTTGACACACCTCAGAGTTTTTAAGCTAAATTACTACGCTGCTCTACATCTTTTACACTTCTCACTGCTTTGAAAGTACTCTCCTTGAATCCTCCCAGCTGCTATTCACCAATTTTCTCTCTCCCCTACAGTCCTAGTTAGTTGGTTCACCAGGACACTGGTCTAAGCTGATTGGAATGGTCTCCATTCCAACAATACAATTTCTTGGGGTCTCTTGTGGCACATCCTACCTCTGAGCCAGAAGGCTCAGGCTCAACTCCCAACTGTTTCAGGGTTGCACAATAACATCCATGAACATGTTGATTAAAAAATATTCCAAGACAACTTCTTTAAAGGCACCAGAATGCAGTGGTAGTGTTCCAGGATCAGGACAGGCCAGTTGAAATCCCACCTGCTCTTAAAGGTGTGTAATAACATCTCTAAACATGTTTGATTAGAAAATATCTAAAATAACTTATTTTGCCCATTCTGGTGCAAGTGCCTAACATCATACAAAATTCTCTCAGTGATGTAATTAAATTCGTATTCTAATATAAAAACATAACTGCTGGAAAAGCTCAGCAAACTGGGCAGGGTCAAGAAGCATCAGGGGGTGGTGGGGGAAGATTGCATAAGCAAGCAATGGCAAGTAATCTTGCATCAGAATGGGAATAAATGTACACAAGTTAGTTTTTAATGACAGTGAAAGAAGGGAGGTGGCAGAAGAACAAAAGGGTGCAGTGTAACTGAAATTGTCTTTAATTGGACAATGTCTAATTTTTGTAAACAGCTGAGAAGAAATCTTCTCTCTCAGAGGGGTGATGCACAGAGACTGGTAAAGGAACAAAATTACATCCAAATGAACCGTGAATGGCTACATAAAAATCATTTGAATGTAATATGAATGGATCAAGAAACAAATAAGACCAACAAATCAAATCAAAAGAAATAAGACAAAGAATAAAACGAAG